TAATCGTTTTATTACAGTGTTTACCTATACATCTTTTTTTTGCTTCATTCTGGTACAGTTTCTATCAAACTTTTTTTTTAATATCACATTTGATAAAAATGAATCTCATCCACGACAGCTGCCAATTCTAATTGAATGTTTTATAGATCAACAAAAATATTTTTTTCTAATTTTGATTTTTATTTTTCTTGGTGCCGTATGCGGTTTCACTATGATGATAGCTATTGAAACGATTAATATGTCTTACACACATCATGCGTGCGGTTTACTTGAAATAGCCAGGTAAAGCAAAGTTACGTTTTTCAAGAAATTAAATAAATTAATTTTAATGATGTTTATACAAAAACGTATTACAGTTACGTTATTAATTTCAGCTATCGCATAGAACAAACATTGTTTGAAGGTACGATACAAGGTATTTCATCTTCTTCTGAAAGAAGTTTGATAATACGTCAAGGAATAATCAGTGGATTCAATATGTATAAAAAAGCAATCAAGTTCGTAATTATCATGTGTATAATTAGAAATTTTTTTTTATCGTTCATTGTAATTTCTCTTCGAATCTTCTAATCCATCTTGATTCCATCAAGTACATAGACATCAAGTACAATATAAAAAATATAAATTATTGGCACATATAACTAACAAATTATCGTCAGAATTTTATTAACGTCGGATAAATTAACACATATAATAAAAGTAGTTATTTGTAGTCATTTATATGAATATATTTTCTTTACGCACATAAGATTTATTGTTATTTAGGTTTATTGAAATGTTGAAAAGAAATTTTATATGGGAGTATTCATTGTTATTACCGTTAGGAGTATTATCATTGAGCATTAATCTTTATCGCGTGAGTAATAATTAATATACACTTATTTAATATTACATAGGTATTGTATATATGTATATCTTGATTAGACATTTTATCTGTATTTGTTCCCTGTGGAAGCAAATTAATCATATTTTATTGTAGCTTTCTCAGTTGATAACGTCCAAGAAATATCACGAAATGATTGTTAGTTTTCTGTTTGTCTTTGGCCATTTTTGGCACATGTTTTTCTGTAACTATTTAGGACAAAAAGTGATCGACCATAGCAGCGATGTCTTTCATAGAATGTAGGTAATATACGAGTACATATTAATTCTTAATTGATTACATCAGTATGATTTTAGAAATTCTTTTATTATCTATAAGGGCGTTTGTTTTGCTTATACTTATATGAGAATATTAAGTGTAAGTAAAACGAACAGTTTATCACGCGACTGTAATAAAGGATTAAAAACATATTAATCTATAATTTATCAAGGCTTTTTAGTTATGATTTTCTAATAGTAAACTTTTAGATACAACGTGCAATGGTATGTAGCTCCGTTAAGAACGCAGAAATTATTACTGCTCATGATGCAAAGAAGTATGCGACATTGCACAATTGTCATTAATAGCTTATTCATTGCATCGTTTGAAGGATTTGCCACGGTAAAATTTTGGCACTAATAGAGGAGAAGGTGGCATTATGGCCAGTGTATATATTGTGGCCTCCCTTAATATCTCTGTTATTATACAGCGAATCCTAATGATTACTTATGGAATTATTAGTTCAGTAGGTCGTCGTTACACCATGACGCTAATATTACCAATACTCAATAACCAGCACTTATTATAACGCATTTTTACTTTCAATTATTTTGAAACGTTTCTGAGATACATTTTAGCATTTAATTACATCTACTTCCCCTCATTATTTTAAACTTGAGCATATTATCACACGAAGATATGCATTTTTGAATGTGTTATTTGCTATTTAACATTTTATTTGACCGTATATATTTTGAGTTATGTAAATTTAAATAATATCATGGCATTTTGCTAATGTAGCCTTCTATGGATTATTCATGATTTCTTTTTTGAAGTTTTCATATCAAAATAATTATTTGATAAACGATTGTAGCTCTACTGTTAATCCATAGTTTATATTATGTGTACCATTTTTAGTATTGAAATTTTTAGTACTGGGCAGCTTATATGCAGAAGTTATGTGAATGTATATACATTCATTTGCATACATTTTAAAGTGTTTAACTTTTTTGTGAATTTTGTAACCAAATATTGTTTTCTAAACAAAACTAATATTTTAAGGTTATTTTTATGGAAGAACACATTACCACCCATTTTTTTCTTCTAATCATTATGCAATGTCGCCATATTTTTATTAATAGTATACTAGGTAATAAATATTTCGTAACTTTGAGTCCAAAATCGATTCAACATTTTAACGAACGTAATTGTCAAATTTTAAACTTAAATATTGATTATTAACAAAGTTATTGCGTAAAATGTAACTGCCATGATACCACCTTCTCCTCTAATAATTCTTTATTGAATATTTTCACTTCAGATATGCTATAACAGAATTTATATTTTAGCTTACAAGCATGTCAATTTCATATTTTACAGTGATTTTTTCCCTCTTCTAATCGTCCGTAAAATTAAAAAACGAAACTTAAAACTTCACAATGAAAGCAATTCTAGTACGCTTATATCATAGTATACTTATATAATTCGTTTTATCTAGAAATATAATAATACAAATGCAATTAATCTACTAAGTTGTCTTCATTACTACTGTATGAAAATGAACTAAAAATATAATGTTGGGTTACGATATTACTCTTCAATTTTTATTCTTTCGAATATGACAATTACATCAATTATCATCTCAGTTTCTAATAGTTTTTATTATACTTACAGTAATATTATATGTTTTTTATTGTTATAAGGAAAATGACTAACACTATCACTTCATACAAAAATAAGGAAATGAAGACATATGGCGACAGAATATGAATGTAAAGCGTCTGAGTCAAAAAATATGAAGAAAATTGTGCACATTATTATTCCTATCATATCTCACTGCCACCAGCGAGAATGAATTATTTATATATAATTCTCTGAACTATTTCCTTCCATTATTGTATGATATACATACAATGACAATAAAATAGTCTCTTTTATAAATTCCTGATAATACCTATTCTATTTCTTTTGTAAAGATTATATTTAATACCATCTATAGTTCGCAGCGTTTTATAAAAAAAATATCGCATGATATCTATAGACATTAGTAAAAACAAGAATTTTCATAGAAGTCATTGGCAGAACAGTATCTCAAGTGTCGTGCAAATATGGTCTTTGCTGGGAGTCGTTACTATAAAATTAATCGAATACTGTTAACGTGCATTGGTTTATGGCCATATTATATGCAACATGTGAAATACGCTTATTGCATATTTTTATTTTTCCTTCTTTTATCTAATATCTTTTGTCAGGTTTGTCGTCGATCCGGGTTTGATATTTATTTATAGCTACTTATATTTATTCCTGTTTTTATCATTTTAATTATTTTGTGATTAATAATTTCTTGTCATAGAACTTATAACTTACATACTATTTTTTATTTTACTATTTACCAATAATCTTTTTTTACAAATATAAGTTTTTATGAATTTGAGAATTTATATTTTATTTTTATAATATTTATTATTAATTTGCAATAAGTATCTCAAAATTTAGAACTTATTTAATATAATATTAGATATTATATTGTTATACAATTGTTGTCATGTACATTATGCAAATATTTATACAAATTCTATGGGTGAACGGTATATACATAATTCTAGATATCGTCGTTTATAACTAAGGAATATAGCGTAGATCTTCTTTTAAATGTTTTACCGTCCATTATACCTACAATGTATTTTACACTTAAATATCTTGTTATGCTTATTAATGGTAATAAAGTAAGTTTATAGTTAATATGATCGATTTCTATAATCACAATCGAATTATATTATAATAGTGAAGTACATTTTGAAAAGTTAGATAGCTTTTCCTTGTATGTAATTAAGGTATATCAATATAATTTACTAGTATCTTGATCCAGGTGAAAGAGCTTATAGAACAAATACGATACGATTGGAATTCCTTAAAAAAGAAAGAGGAACTTAAAATCATACAAAATCGCACTAATATTGGAAGACTATGTACAATCATTATGTTAAGTGAGTAATAGAATTAACTTGCGAAACATTCTCAATTGTAGTGCTATCACGAAATTAAAATTAAAATAAGAATTACAATATCGTATTATAACAGTATGGATATACACAATACTCTTTCTTTTTATATTAATATTTTTTTTCGCCAAATATTTTTAATATCGTATTATTACAGTGTGGACATACACAATACTCTTTCTCTTTATATTAATGTTTTTTTTGCCAAATATTCTTAATATCGTGGTGCCATTAAACAAATCGCGGAAATCACGACAGCTTCCGAACTCGATGGAATTTTTTATCGATAGGGAGAAATATAGCGAATTGTTAACATCGTATTTCTTCCTAATTATCACTATCGGTATTACCATCACAGTAACCATAGAAACATTCTTACAAATGTGTGCACAACACGCATGTGCAATGTTTCAAATCACTAGGTAATGAATTCTTAAATGCTAACAAAGGAAATATAAATATATTGATTCAGTATCATAACAATTCAACTTTTTATAGTTATAGAATCGAATGTATCCTAAACAGAAGCCAGATGAAATCGTTAGTTTCTCTGGAAAAATTCAATAATCATAAAAGCATTGTGGAAGCTGTCAATAGTCATCGAAACGCTATCAAGTTGGTGTAAAATTTGCAATTTATAAAATTCTATCCAAGATATTTTTCAAAAATATAAGAAATTATGTTTTACATATTATATTGATGATATATTGATAATGATTATTCAAGATTCTTCGATTCCGTTAAATCTATTTTCTCAGTTGCCCATGTTTTTGGCAGTCCATTGGGTGTGATATCGTTAAGTATCAATTTATATCTTGTGAGTTTGTAAAACTTCTAATTGTATCATATTAATGATGTAACTGTATTACATAACAATTTTTAAGAAGTTGTAAGTTTCATAGTTTTGCGAGTACCTTATGACAAAAGATATTTACAGTACGAGCATATCATTCTTATACGTTGTTACTCATTTTTGCTACATGTTTTTTTTTAACTACATTGGTCAGCAAGTAATAGATCATAGCAACAATATATTTAAGAAAACGTGAGTATAGAGAAAATAGAAAATTTCAGTTAAACATATCTAAAATTTATGTAATTGCAGATTAATTTAATATAAATTAATTTATGGCATCTCATATATATAGATATAACAGTCGATGGTACGCAGCTCCATTGAACACGCAAAAATGCCTCATAATAATAACATATCAAAGTATGAAGACTTATACATTGACAATCTGTTTTGGACTATTCGTGCCGTCTTTGGAAGGTTTTGCTACGGTAAATTGTACAACTTATGTATTGAGGATGTAAAAAATTTTATACTTTTATACTTGTTATTGCAGCTTATCAGTAAGTCATTATCATTCTTTATGGTACTTTATTCTGTACGCTAATAATAATCACAGAATGTAATAATACTCAACAATTGTGACCGATAAATACTTTCGTGAAGAAAGTGTGCGTCATGTTAAAACATCTCTGGACCATTAGGAACTTTGAATCTATTATATATTTGTTTACACTCGAATATTTATATGTTAAACTAGAAGTGCAAGCTAATATATTTCTTTAAGTAATTAAAATAAACAGCTCTTTAACTTTAATCCATACGACATGATTTATTTTATTCGCTCGTATTAAAATCACGATCCCAATATAAGATTTTAAGCAAAACTGCTTGAAGTAAAAAAATAAATATATACATTTTACTATTGTTAGAAGAGAGTGAGGGAACTGCAAACAGTTAAGCGAAAAAATTAAATAAAGCTGATGATTATTTATTAATTAATAGAAGTCTTTATCCTCTCAAGATTCTCCAGCTATTTGACTTTAAACTACAATAATCATCGAAAGCATATTTATCTTAATTAAACGGCATGCGGTTCTATGGTCATGTGCTTAGTATAGTCCGACATACGATACTAAACGTATATCGGACTACACTAGATGCGAGAAACGGAAGATAATCATTACTCTAATATACTACTATAACGATATCATTATGCATATAATTGTCTTATTTTTTAAATGTATTTTACAATGTAAAAGAGTGTTCTCGTTTTGTATTTTAGAAACTCATAACACCATTAATCTCGACTATTTTGTTCTGTAAAGTCTTATTATAAATTGTGATTTTAGTATTGATAAGCGTAGATGCTTGGCTTCTTTGACATTGTGTTACCACGCGATACGTTTTATCTAAACTGCGAATGTAATGTCTCTATTCCACGAGCAGTTTCTAACTAGAAACACTATCGACATTGCTTATAAGTACGAAGAACGCGTGCAACTCGTCGCGCACAAATCTTCTTGGATGCGCGGAAAGGCGGAAAGGCGCGTCTTGCACCGTATTTCACAGATGTCGACTAGTATGACTGCTTTGTCTAATAACATATTTGATTCATGCAATTCTGATTTGTGAAAATAAAATTTAATTTTTTTTTTAGTTCTAATTCTACTCGAAACATATTTGCACGCGTATAAATATTTGAATTTAAAAAAATTTAAAAGTTAAATAGAAAACAATATAGAAAGTAAAAAATTACTTTTTGTATATACATAAGTACGTTTCAAATAAGAAGTCATTTTACAAAAATTATTATTAATTACAGTCGGTTTGATTATAATAAAAATAACTTGTTATGTTAACATATTTTTTTTAAGCTAATCGTATGTACATTAAACGTGAAAAATATGAACATAAAATTGATTACATTCAATAAAAAATTTTTAAGCGTTATGTTACAAATATAAAAAATATGCCTTTATCTATTACCGTCTGTTTTTTTTTTATTTTAGCTTTCTTTTTCATAAATAAATATCAAGAAAACTGTCATTACACACACACACACACGCACGCACGCACGCACGCACGCACGCACGCACGCACGCACGCACGCACGCACGCACGCACTCACATTGTTCAATTATTATTATCGAAAATTATGTGTGAATAATGGGATGGGAGAAAGACTATCTTTCTTTTGATCTCCGTAATTCTTCGAGAAATCTACGATCTCTTAGTGCATTCTCTGCTAGTCTCGTTAAATACGCTCTCTTCCACCGAAAACCTCCTTCGTCTTATCCTCTGTGTAACAAATGTGCGGTAGTACTGTGAAGAATAGAACTGTCGGATGTGGAGCGTACATAATGCGTCAAGATTCTCAAGTTTAGTTTTCGATAGGGATATTATAACTAATGATATCCAAGTCGCAAATTGTCATGCGTGTAACAAATGTGCGGTAATACTGTGAAGAGTAGAACTGTCAGATGTGGAGCGTATAAAATGCGTCAAAATTCTCAAGTTTAATATTCGACAGAGATATTTAAACCGCAAATTGTCATCATATTTATCATACACATAAAAAAATATGGCAACAATTACAATTACATTAATAAAGAAAATATTTGATTGAATTTGTGAACTACTCGAATTTCTCGTCATTTTGACTTATTGTATCGTCTGATACGTTAGAGAAGAGAAAAGGAAACGAGATCCCAAAAGAGCTGCTGCTGCTTCGAAAGTCATCCCCTCGTCAACACGACGATGCAACGTACGGCATTATCGCAAGTATAACACTTTTTCTTCCCCGCGGCAGTTTCCCAAGATAAGCAAATCCCTTTCTAGGAAAATTCCTTTGTTACCTCACGTCGACTGGCCTAGGAGAGCAAACTATCGTACAGGGTTCCGACAAAAGTGGAGCGTGTACAATATAAAGGCGTGTCGAAACTTGTTACTCGCGCGAGTGCTTCCGTGACTATCTGCCGAGCTGTGCAGTCTTCTACTAAGTTCCCTTTACAAGTGGCGCAAAAGCACGCGAGAGCTTCTCACAATCGAGTTTATAACGTGTCCTCCCTAATATAGCCGCGTAACCACAACCAATGATTACGTCCAAGTTTTGTTTCCCTCTCGAGTAATTGCTCCATGAAAGAAACTCATAAATGCTACGATTAAAACTCCTAGTAACAAAGCTATTAACAGTTCAGAAATTTAACAGAAATGCGAAGAAAATACGATAGTATTGTCACGATATACCTAATACTTAATAATTTGATATATATCAGTTATTATATTCAGGATAAATTTAAGCACTTTAATCATCATTGCCTTTGTCAAAGCACAGTTGTCTTTGAAAAATGTTTGATTTTAAATGATACATATCATAACATATAATTAAAACTTTATCAAACTCAATATTTTATTACTGAGAAAAATGATTTAGTTATAGCAACAAGACGTATGGTTGATTACATTTTGATAAAACCAAACAGAATTTCTAGTTATCATGATAAAATTCACTATTTTATAACTAGAACGTTTGTTAGACTTAATTATACGGATTTGGTTAATACTTTTCAATTGACTTTACAAAACTTTTCTAGTTGTAAGAGGTTCCCCGAAAGCAGTACACGATACGTGAAAATAACGCGATAGATCAACATCTCGTAATTCGAAATCATATGGGACAGAATAAAAGGCGCAGCATTATAAGATTCTTTACCATCCCCAAAATTGGATTTAGAGACGAAAATAAATGAGAGATGTATCTTGACAGTTCTGTTTTTAATTTTTGGAAGTTACATATACAAAATATGTATTAATATACAGGAATATTATTAAAAACATCAATACTTATGTGGAATTGTATGCTCGCGATTAAACTCAATCATCAAATGCCAATCAATAAGAAATTCTTATATATTTAACAGGAAAGGATTAATCATGTGTTCATCTGATATTTAATTCCTAGAAGAATTCTGATTTGTTAATATTCGGACAGACATATTAACTGACTCTATCAGATTTCCAATTAGTACAACCAGACCTTTGTTTAATGATATAATAGATTAGAATAGACAGAATTGATAAGAGACCTTTTAAAATTTTATTCTCTATAATGAATGGCTAATAAATCACATTTTATTCTAATGCAATATTCAGAAATGCTTAAATATTCAATTGCTGAAATAATCAGTTTCAAAAAATATATTACACTATTTAATCAATGAACGCAAAAAATCAAGGTAGAACCAGCAGAAAGAAATAAATGATAATGAATGAATAAAATCGAAACAAAGATGACGAAATATGAATTATTACACTTTAGATTTAGTTTCCTTTTCGTTTACTGTATACGCTCTTGTTACTCTCCGCAATGTAATTTCATTCTACTAAAGTTGCAGAACTTCTGCAAGCGACGCGGTTGCAAGGCCAAACAGTGACCCATGCTTAAGGTCATGTTACATTTACGAGACTTTATGTTTCTAAACTTATGTAGCTGGTTTTAGTACACGCAACAGAGAGAACAGAGTTGCAGCGAAATTGTATCCAATTCAAATATTATCCGTTTTATTTATTGACGGCCTTTTTAATTGTATATAATAAAATTATTTTTGTAAATTGTTATACAAAACCATTTAGTATAGTTTTTCTCAATTTTTGAATGAGATAACGTCAAACGAACAAGTAGACGGATATTTGAAATATTTAATTATGATTTTTCTACTATTTCTTACTTTTCATAGTCCTTTACAGTGGTGATTTCATCATGTCTATTCTGTGTATCTTTCTTTCTCTTTCATGCAGTAAATTTTAAAAAATCTTCGACATATAATAATTTAGTAATTCACAGAAAAATATAAAGTTATTGGAGAATCACGTTGTCAGGCTCAGACTTTGAGAATTTCGTCTAAAATGTCGGAAACATTTCAGTTTCCCTATAAAACGATTTCAGAGATCGCATCAACACCTGTGATCCACCCGTGTAGCGCGTGTCCGACCGTAACTCCATTATCCTTTAAAGAGCCCTCTTCGAACAATTGACTTCGCTCCTCACAATGCTTTTCGCTTGAGTTGCCTCGGCACATTTCCGTTTATGGCAACCATCCTCGAAAACGACGATATATAATCATAACTTTCACGTTCTGCAAGAATAATATCGGCTATACAATTTTTCTGTCAAATGTATTTATACAATAATTTAAAAATAAATACTAAATGTATTCGTTTTTATGTACAAAGAAATAAGAAATTATCGCGTATTGCGATGGTGCTCGACAACCGACGTTCTCGGCATAGAAAGATGAACGAGCAACAATTTACAAGGCTATGACGTTACGTTTCGCACCGAAATGCCCGCAGCCTATTGGGCCATTGTACGCAAAGAGATACGCAAAACGATAAGGAGATCTTATACAGAACTGACAACGCGTCTTGCAAGGCGGTGAGAACGGAGAGTGAGATTAGGAGGGACGGAGCGCGCCCGACATACCGCTGAGCTAGTGGAAAATAGCGTGACGCCTAGCAGCCGGGCTTCTTGTCTGGCTTTATTTCAACCGACGACTCCACCCCCGGTATCAACAAGATGGGGATCGAATCGGAGAGCCGTGAAATAACAGTCCTGCGACGCGAAAACGTTTTTTACAGATCTACCTCAGAACAATTTTCTCTGCTATAACAAATAGAATATTTTTGCGAGATTATATCGAATATGTGATGCCAGGTTAGAGAAAAAATATATGAAAAGATTAATCTATCTGTACAAATTTCTGTACAAATCCTCTAAAGTTTTTATATCACACAATATTTTTAGGCATTTACTACATTAATTCGAAGAAAAATCTAGTTAAAACAATCTTAAAGCCTAGATTTTTGTATGTATAAGATGTGCAGTAGTTTTCAGTGCTTATCAAATTATGTACGTTCTAAGAAAAGAAATCTTTTACGAATTCGTTATTGCAAATAAATGAATAAATGAAAGAGAGAAACGTATAATGAGATACTTGTCTATAGTACTAATCGTCGGCAGGGTTTTAAAGTCATTCGACACGCTACATTTCAAGAACCTGAGTTGAAGCGGCAGCGGTGTGGATAATCAAAGATTTGCGTGTAAAATACCAACAGTTCATCAGATCCATGCACTACAGCACGCATGTTCATGAATTCAAGAAGAGTATGCCTGGATTGCATCGCGTGCGATAGCACATGCTACTATACGAAAATACGACTACACGATGTATATGTACGCGTGTATAACGTTTTCATTAAAACTTGCTACCGTTATTAGTAACTATGCTGTAAATAGTACGCAACATGTTGCCACAAACAGAAACTACTATAAAAGAAAATAAAAGAGAAAGAAGAGAAAGAGTAACGGATAAGTAAATACAAAGAGAAAGATAAAAATGAAAAAGGCAGTCAGAGGCAGAAAAAAGCGAAAATAAGCGAAAACTATGACATCCAAGATGATATATGTATGTATGCATACATATATATCTTGTATTCTGAGAGTAAAGATGCGAATGAAATATTCAAACGTAAAATTAGGCAATGCTGACATCTTTTTCGAAGATATTTTCAAAATTGTCTAATTTTACATTTTAATCCCTACAGATCCTGCGTACGTTGTAATGTATATCAAATTTATAAACATTATCCGTTCGAATTATTTAATTTTATCGATATCATCTAAGATCTGATGTACATAATAATGTATATGTTGGAAAAATTTGTTAGTCAGAATTTTGAAGGAAATTAATTATTTAATATGAATTACTTATTAAAATACACATAAATTGAATTAAAAAAAAATTTTTTTATCATGATTCCAATAAAATCAGGTCTGAAGGGATTAATGTTTTATCATCAAGACCTAGTAGTGTATTACTTAAGTTAAGCATTTGCTTTCTGATAAAGAATAAATTCTGTTGATAAAAATTGCGTCTTAAGTAATATTATATCAAGATAAATGAATCAATCAGCCATATCTGACGAATCAGAAATAATAGCATAATAGTCAATGGCTGCGTTCAGCAGAAAAAGCAGCTTTGCAACTGTTATAAAATTCTTTAATATGATTGGCCTTAGTTCCTTACTGGATCTAAATGTATAAACTAATCATATTCAAGAATTTTACAACAGTTACAAAACTGCTTTTTCTGCTGAACGCAGTCATTGATATTGTCTTCAAAGTTAACGACTCTATAAATCAAAGGAAAACGTCGACATATTCCAGATAAATCTCACGCAAATTTAATTTCCTTCGTAAAAAGAAGTGTTCAGATTCAGATAAAATATATACAACATACGTATGTATATATATGTATATACTATATATATGTGTATATATATGTATATATATACATATATGTTGTATACATCTTTACCGATTTTATATATTATTTTACATTAATATTTTTTCAGATACTACAACTATTTCTGTAGAAATAATACTAAATTAAGTACGTTTGATGAAAATATGAAATCATTATCATTAATCTATTTATTTATATTTCATAAATGATGTAATAGCCAAATTGTAAGTTTGATAGAACATCTAAGGTGTAATCTGGAGTTGACAAGAAGTATTTAGTCCCAGAGTATAATCGACGCGAAAATGTATCGCTTACGAACTTCCCACGGTACTTCCTATCGCAACGTGCATCATAAATGTCAATTAGCGCCACAATACCTCGCAAACGTGAGAACAACGCCAATTTACCCGCTTTCATACGCCACACGTCATTATCTTCACGTTTCTGCGTTAGAGCGTTTTCAGATTCTCCTAATTATAAGGTACCGAATATTTAACGAATATATGACTATTATTTTGTGGAAAAAATTTATCTTACTAACGTAATAATATTTCAATCATAATAGCAGTTAGAAAAACTTTAAATTAAACGTTTTGTATATTTAACGATGATACTAGAAAGAAGTTTTACCTCTGCAATTCTCGAAAAATAAAAAAATATGAATGGTAAACAGGTAGAAAAAAATTTTCTATTCTTCCGTGATACACGATGCAAAACCGCTAACGATCGCTTCTCTCCATTTTACGGCTAATACCACTCAGCTTTCACATCGCATCATGTTTCTGCCGCATATCTGTCGTCACATCGATGACAATTTAACAGAATTATTACCAATGAATGATCTATTATATAATATATATACCAAGAAATATTATTATTATTTCAAGCAGATATTATTTCATATCGTGATATTTAAGAGAGTTATTGAAATAATAAATTCAATTCTAGCATTGAATTTATAAATATTAAAAATTATCAATCAAATTGTAATATAATTTTGTTGTCGAAAAATTTATATTATATGTAATATATTTATATGATATTAATATATTTTGTATGTGAACTATGAAGAATTTCATTTATTTTTCTTTCAAATGTTACTATTTCAGGTTACTGATATAACTTTACAGAACACTACTTACTATATGAATAGTGCAATCCATGTATTTACATCGCGTAGATGATGCAGATCGAGTTTCTGCACGATGAATAGAACTGCAATGCCACAAATCTTAGACACAACACATACTCACATATACCTACAAATATTCTCCTCATCTTCATTTCCATCTATTCAAACACTATTCCGTTGGATCTTGCCAACGATAATAATTATATAATTTATTTGAAATATTTTTTATATATTGTATATATTTATTTGATCTTTCCGATTTTTGCCATTTTTTATAATTATTGGAGATTAAATGTGTTACACAATAGTTTAGCAGCAATTATTAATTTATTTCTTTTCAAAATATAATTTTGAATATATTATTATTTAAAAATTTTATTATAATAGAAAATTTTGCTGAAAGAAAACAAATTGTTTATCTAATAATTGATCAATAACTGTCCCAAACGAGGAAGTTATGTTTCTGTGCAAAGAATGTCTATATATTTACAAAGTTTTATTTATAATTACAAATTTGACCGGAAAAAATTGCTCTCGTATTGCTCAATTACTGTATTTTATTTTTAGATTATTTAATAGCTACAAAAATATTTGTTTATATTTTTGTTCATGACAAATAAACAATTTATAAAAACATTTGAACATTCTTCTTGAGGCTTCCACGGGTGCTTTCTGTATGAAGGTTGTCCGTTTCGCGGGTTTTCTCCGTATCCAAATCCATTCTTGGAATGCTAACGTTTCGTGAACCTTGCAGTCCACATTTGAACATTTTGAAAACATCTAAGGACACTATTACGTGTTATTTTTATTACAGTTACGTATAATAATTTGTGTAATGTAAAATTATTATAAAAATGTTTTTTATCTTTGATAAATCCACCTAAAATATGTGAAGAAAATTACAATTCTGCAAGCTCTTATTGTAGTAATTTGTATCACCGAATCAACGCCAAATGTAAGTTGATGATATTGCATATTAACCAGAAATTTTTTAATATATATAATATATACATATTAAAATACTTAAAGTATTTATAGTCATTTATATAAGAAACTAATATACATGTATATACATACATACGGATATGAAAATATAAACTACAGTAATATTTTATTTCATAATTCATAATATCTGGCCATATGCCATATGGCTATAATGAGAACGAAAAGGTTAATGAACGTATATTCATTATAAGAATCGATTATATGAGAAGATGACGGATACGTGTGTGCATGTGTGTATGTGCGATACGCTATATTACATACTACCATGATCTTTTCATTCACAAATAAACGATCAACGCGTTATTAATCCGAACGTTTTGCTCATTTTATTTCAGAACTCCGAAATATCGCTGTTTGAGACGAATATTCGTTTCATGGGAAGCCTGCTTGCCTGTTATGCTCTCACGGGAGATGTGATGTTCCGGGATAAGGCGGCGCAGCTTGGTGAACGGATGCTGCCTGCCTTCCAGACGGAAACCGGAATTCCTCATTCCCTCATCAACCTTCATACCGGGGTAAGTGCGGCTTTTCGTTGCCATAACTCGCTAGTGCTCGCATCAACGCAGGTTCGATGTACTTTGATATTACATTAATTTCGTTTCTCGCACCAAAAAAAGAACCTACTCATTTACTGCACTGAGATAAAAGAGTAAAACAAGAAATAACGGATACTAAATGTCGTAAATTTATACAGGTTGCATCAAAATCAGGTATACATTTTAATAAAACTAAAACCACGTCTAGGAGTCAAAACCTGAAAGAAAAACTTCTTGAGATAACTTCTTTATTGCCAAGATGTTTAATATTGAAAGTTGAAAGTTAAAAGTTACGACAGGAAATAATGATTAAACTTCCAGTACAGAAAGATTCACAAGTTATGTATTATATAAAGAGATCATCTAAATATACATATCTAAATAACGTAAAAAAGAATGAGATTACTTTAAAGATCTTTCCACATCAATTACTGATTGCTGGAGATATATTAATTTAAGTTTTTTGTGAAAACCATTTTTTAATTTAAAATTTTGATATTATTTTATTTTAAAGTAATGTATTTTCGATGCATTTGTTATTTACAGCGAACAAATAAACTTATTAAATATTATAGTATTATTATTAAATTTTGCTATTATATTTTTTCTTCACATTTTGTTATATTGCTGAATAAAAATCTACGTATAATATATCATTTCTTAAATAATCAAGAAATTGTAATAAAATTAATAAATTATTTTCTTACATGTTTTTATAAATTTGTTTGCTATAGTTCTCATCGACAAACGATCCATTGATCTGTTAAGGAATGAAACACGCGGTATAAAAAAACACAATTACACACACACACACAGCTCATGCTCGCATGACTATACTTAAAAAAGCTACTCCAAGGCGTGGTATTTCCATTCTTGCGCGCTTCTTGTTAAACATCGTATGTGGCAATGATGTTACGCTTTAATTGAAACGATTCCATCAAGTCACGTCTGTCGAAATAGCGGTGCGCGATTAATATGCAAATTCTTAATTGGATGGATAATGAGGCCGCAGGAGGCGGATATGGCCTTTGGCTCTATACGATAGACGATATATTCGTTCATATATGTTATTTTTTTCTTTTTTTATATTTTCATTTATATCGATTATTTGGCGATAAAATAACGATAAGTGATTATCTATAATAATTTAAATAAAGAAAAAGATTTCTGATAAAAGAATGAGCGATTAATTTTAATAAAAAAAGCTCTTATTACATATCTTTAGTGTTATTACATATCAAAATTTAAACTAAAATCAATTTTATTAATATATGTTATATGTTTAATAATTAAATCATTTACCATTATTTCATTACATTTAATAATAAAATTATCAATTAAGCTTTAATTGATGATACAATGCTTTTAAAATGTGTAGAAGTAATAATAACTATACTTATCTAATATCATTATAACCTAAAGTAAAGAATGTTATACAAATAAATAAAAACTAATCTAAGAATGTATAACTTTATGATTATTATATTATATTATATGATTATTGTTGATAGTTATATTTTGTTATTTTATCAAACTTGAAAAGATATATCCATTGACAAAAATAATGCAAACAAAATCAAAAAGTTTTTTATAGCGTGAAGAAAAGAAAAAAATATAATTGTGAGATATTTTTATAAATTGTCTTACGTACTTTTTAATTAGATAATTTATAACCGTACATAGATTGAAAGCAACAAATGTGCAGTTTTATCAAAGAAAAGTATTCATGTCGAAAGTACGAGAAAAAGAGAAAGGAAAAAGATTCAGATTGGATCATTACGCAATATATATATGTCGATTGATTCTGTCCGCTTGACTTCATAGTTTGTATTAATATTTTCAGTGGACGCGGCTAATTACCGTATGTCTATCTCCGCGCCATAATTGTCTATTAATTTGGAATGGTATGAAAGAAAAGAATAATGAAAAATTTTGGTTGGTTCAAAAAGTTTCATATATTTTATTTTTCTATGTGATTATTTTACACGAACGAAGTGCATTTTCTTCTTTCTGTTTTCTTTCATATATAAAAAAAATAATACGCAATGATATTTTTTAAAATATTTTTGCAGCTATCAATTTAAATAACTAATCATCATATATAGAACAATAAAAGTTACGAAAATTTATCTTTTGTACGCATGTATCAAATAAATACGTAACATTTGTTATAACAAATTTAATAACATTGCTACGATGTATTCATAGCAACGAGAAATTTCTGTTCTCTTTTTCCCTTTAACAACAGAAGACACATGCAAACGTTATATCGCACGCATGCTCGTCTATCTTACCGCCATGAAATTATGGTGGATAGGTTAATTGGTTAGATTAAATTATAAAGCGATTATGGTTCTCCCAACCGAACTTCATCCACCTAAATCCTCGTTACAATATTTCAGCGATATCCGATGAACAGATTGCCTATTCGTTTCTTTGGATTTTCGACGCTTCAACAATGGCTTTTGATTATTTAAAACCACATCAGATTTCATTCTACAAAATTTCCATATTATTCTTAATATCCTGATCCTTTTCATAAAGAATTAGCATATTTTGCTTGCTCTCATGGATTATACTATTTGTACGATCTATTTCCTTTTCATAAATTAAAAAAATGGATATTCAAGTAAATTCTTTTATAAAATTTAAATTAAAACCATATTTTAGATTTCTTTAATACGTTAGATTTATTATAGGGATTAATAAATTTATAATATATATAATATATACAAAATTTAAGTTTAAAACAAAATAATATAAATATTTTCTTATTTTACCTTTCTTTCTTTCTTATTATAAAGCAAAATTTTTTATATTACTCTATTACTATTTAAATATTATAATTTTCTAGAATATTGTTATACTTACTTAACTTATCTGTTGAACATTTTATATCTTGCGATGTGTTGTTCTAGCTGGAAACTTGCGCTTATTTTTCAGGTTAGCAAGAATTACGGTTGGGCGAGCAGCGGTTGCAGTATTTTATCCGAAATCGGGACAATGCATCTTGAGTTTACCTACTTGAGCGATATAACGAATAATCCAGTGTTCAAGAGTAAAGTTGAAAATGTAAGGAAGGTCTTGAAGAGTCTGGACAAACCAAAGGGTCTATATCCGAATTATATCCATCCAAGAACAGGAAAATGGGGTCAACGTAAGTGTCTCAATAATTTGCGTTGTATTTATATGTATCTTCTATATTTTTTTATTAATATTCGCAAATATATGTATATATGTGTGTGCATGTTCCAACGCGCAAAGATAATTTGCTTAGAAAATTATTTACAAATTATATTCAATGTAAAGGAATGTATTTTGAAAATGTAGAATATTGCGTATTTCTGTCATTCCTACAGAAGTTTCTACATCATAGAATTAATCACTTTACCCTCACTACTATTATTTTCGCGTGACATAAATGACAGCAACGTTTTCACATTCATATTTGCATTTAAATTCATGATTTTTAAAAATCTCTGAATGTCTTCAAGCAGATGATATCAAATCGATATAAATGTATTTGAGACTTATTATTATAATTACATTTAATAAATCTTTGTATGCGTACATTTTGCACGAAATATATTTTTAATCTGATTGCTATCAATTATATCGTGAAAATAGTTTTCGCATAGCCGTAGAGTAGAAAACCCGCACAACTTCAATCGTTCCGCTTTTTTCACTATTTCGTATTGCAAGCATTGGCTCATGTTGCTTCGCGAAAAGATGCTCCGCCGCGACGTCGGTACGGCCGTCGCCGTTTTCACCATAGCCGATCTTGAATATCGCATTTATCATCCTCTGCCTCGGATCCTAAATCCCCTATGCCTGTGTACCTTCTTCTGCACGTATGACGAGATCCTTGAGGATATATATCATCCAAACCGTTCGGTATCTAGCCTCATCGCACATCCTTCTCACATTTTTCATGATTTCTCTCTGTTGGACACTCATATTATAAATATACTTGTAATAATATATTTGTATTATAAATATACTTGTAAGAAGAAAACGTTGCTGAAAAGAACAACATTGACTTTTCGATTAAGACACATTTAAACAAATATATAACAAACCAAAAAATTTTTATATAATTAATACGACATGTATTTGATGTAATAACTATCATTATTTAATGCAACTTCACTGATAAAATGTATTGTCACAACAATATGCAATTTGTTTAGTCAACCTTTATATCTCTATGAACAAAAACGTCATCAATCTTGTTTGATCGAGCACTTTTTTCTTTGCGTGTAACAATAAAAATCAATATACTGTTGACTTTTTTTAATAACAAGATGTATCGCGTATTGTGCCTTTGCAAATAAAAATCAGTGTTCAAAATGTAACTTGCCGACTTCGAATCATAATTAACATTCATTTAACGGAAGTTTAATCTCATGTGGCTCTGATCTTCATGCATTTTCGCGAGGTAATGTTCTTACTATATATCCGGGGAAGTAGTGAACAGAAAGATAAAGCGAAACTGTACGTCCTTTCATCGCAGATTTCACATAAAGTGGGAACCATGCTTTTAGCTAGCCTAAGGCATCTAGGAATTAACCCAGTAGAAATCAAGAAATGTGCTCTTTGTTTCGCCTCCCTCAAACGTGATCGAAGTAGACCTGTAGCGTAGAGAAACTCCTCTTTTTCCGGAAAAAGATTCTTCCACATTCCTTTATCTCGCAATGATTGTCATTGCTATCCGTTTTAAAGCGGTATCTCTTTTAAAGCAGTCGAACAACGTTTTATCTTGCAAAACGAGTCGCTCGCAAGTCTTTAATTTCGCTTTAACATGAAAAGAATAGAAAATAAGAGCAGAATTAATACACTTGAAATTTTTAAATGGGAGAAAACAAATCTTATTATTTATATTCTAAAATTTTCTTCAATATAACGCATGACGAAGTATGTGTGCTCATTTTAAATCTTTTAATCTTTATACTTAAAAGAATATTAATACTTCAAAATCTAAAATTGAGTTTAATGATTTTTATGAATATTTATTATTAATACTAATTATTATAAATAAAAGTTTTTATTAAATATATCGATACTGATATAAATTATTATACAGATTACATAAATTTATTTAATAATTAATTATAAAGAACTTTGACAATATTTTAAAAGATGTATGTACGGTATCTTTACCGTACTTTATACTTTTTTTCTTTAATCTGAAGAGAATATAATAAGGTGATATTATAATCCAGATTCTCCGTACTTTTCTTTCATTCCTCTTTATTCTCTTATTCATTAATCAAAGTGAAGTTCTTTTTATCAATTTGAAAAGCTTTTTATTCTTTAATCTCTCATAATACAAAAGCTATTTGCTGACATATTTATCTAGAAATTATATCAGAAATTAATTTTGTTAAAGAATTTATATATAAAAAAGAAAACAGAGCGGGCTTCGCTTAATAATTTTATAGAGAAATATATCGTGAGCTCTTTTGGAATTCGCATAAAATTTACTTATGACAGAAATTTTTTTGTGGGATTTGCAGATCATATGTCGCTCGGTGGGCTCGGCGACAGTTTCTATGAGTATCTATTGAAAGCTTGGATCCAGTCAGGCAAGGAAGACGTCGAGGCACGTGAAATGTACGACGACGCTATATCCGCTATAACCCAGCATATGATCAAAACATCCCCTGGCAAACTTGTCTATGTGTCGGATTTAAAATACGACAGACTTGAGCATAAAATGGGTCACTTAGCTTGCTTCGCCGGTAAGTTTTAATATGCATTAATGTAACTATCATGATTTTTACAACGTAATAGTCAACCTCGCGCGATGATACTCGAGTACATACTATACTACAAAATGATTCATCTACAAACACTTAAATAACTACCGTTCAAGTTTATGATATTAATTACAGAGTTGTTTACTCAATTAAAGCTTTTATCATTATAAAACAGAATTACTTTACGTCTTTATATCAATATGAAAAGCAACCAATTCAACAAAGGATATCTTGTCAATAAAGTTGTTATTGCATATTTTGTAGGCGGTATGTTTGCTCTGGGTGCTAAAACTCTAGAAAATGAGATGTCTGAAAAATACATGAACATCGCCGCTGGTTTGACCAACACGTGTCATGAATCATATGACAGAAGCGCTACGAAACTCGGCCCTGAAGCTTTCCACTTTATCGAAGGCAACGAGGCCAGAAGCTTAAAGAATGGCGAAAAATATTACATTCTACGACCTGAGGTAAGTCGCCCGCGCTCTCATCCTAAGGTAAAACTAGCGTGAATTTATAAAATATTACTATCGCAGTTACGTTTTCTCTAAAAGTGAGAAAAAGAAAAAGATAGTCATTTATACTAAAAAATTATTTTACAAACTATGTTAAACCACGAAAAAATATATTGTACATGGATTTAACTTTATTTGTGTAAATTAAGTATGGTATATTTTCTCTTTTTTTTTTATTAAATAGAAAATTTAGTTATTTTAATTATTAAGTTTGTAAATTTATATAACCAAAATCATAAAATACATAGAAAATTGTTTTCTTTTTATTTTATTGAAGATCGTTTTTTATAAAAAAATCGATATATTTACTGGATAATAAAACAAGATATATTTCTTTACAGACCTTCGAATCCTACTTCGTAATGTGGCGGTTAACAAAGGATCCAAAATATCGCGAATGGGGTTGGGAGGCGGTTCAAGCATTGGAAAAACATTGTCGGGTTCCCGGAGGATTCACGGGGCTTAACAATGTTTACCTAGTCGACTCGGCGAAAGACGACGTCCAACAAAGTTACTTCTTTGCTGAGACATTGAAGGTAAAGAGAAACGAAGCATCGTTTCGATTCGGGGTTTACGTTACTTTTTGTAAAGACTGATTTAAATGTTTAATATTTAGACCTTTTCAACAATGGCGGTACCTTATAAATTTACATTTAACATAGTGCAGCATAGCAATTTGAGATTGACACTATTGCATAGAAAGAATGGTTTTACTGAAGTATTTAAAAATTTAGCTGTACAGATCTGAAAATTAAATTTTTTATATCTATCAAAATAATTATGAACATTCAAACTAATTGTTAGAATGTCAAAAATTTTTTCAGCATTATTCATCATACTTGAGTTTCCTAGATAATTATTTTGACAAAATTGTTTCCTTCAACAAAATTATTATATTAGATCTATCTAGTAGATATAAAATTATTTTTATATCTATCTAAATTTTTAAATACTTTAGCAAAATTGTTTTTTCCGTGTGTAATTACCATTTATTTTTTATATTTATATTTTTTTATTTTTTATATTTTTTAATCAGATTTATAATATATATAATATATAATAATATTTATAATATTTTTCAATTAAAGCATTTATAGAGGTAATATGAAGTAGATAAAATATATCGATAAAGAAACTTTCCAATAAAGAATATTATTTAATCAATACATGAAATAGGAAGAGAAAAGGAGAATTTAATAAAAATATACGTATGTCATGAAAGTATAATAATAGATATGAAAATATGAAATGTGAAAATATTTTGTCTTTTTCCAGTATCTTTATTTGCTCTTCAGCGACGACGATCTCATAAGTCTGGACGACTGGGTATTCAACTCCGAGGCTCATGTGCTTCCTATCAAGGGCAATCCTCTGTACCGCCCAGCTCCCTCTTTATAAGCCAGACAAGTTCACGACATATTGAACGATACTGACAATTCTCGTTTGGCGGTGATGGAACTGACAGATATATATACATATGTGTATATATAATATATAATAATACGACGATACACAGTGGATCAAAATTATACAGCGACACACAGAAAACTGAAGAAATTTACTTTGAATTGACAAAGCGCTTTTTTAGTTACTTCTTTCTATATAATATTATATTGATTATAAAAAAATTTCTATTGCGACAAAACTAAATACGATTGCATGTTGTTCTTCTATTTTCTTTCATTCATTACCATAAAAATTTTCACTTTACGATATAAAAGATGTTTATTTGTAAACGTTATTACGCGATTTATTTCAATTTTGATCCATTGTGTACATAATAAAATCGCAAATTAATGAAGAGGATAAAGAAGAATTAGTCTGCCCTTCATGCTTAGAGCGAATCGATACATTTTAAATTAAAATAATTATTTTAAGTAAACAAAAGAGAGAGAAAGTGAGAGAGTAAGAGAGAGAGAGAGAGAGAGAATTGAGAGTGAGAAAAAACAGAATGAAAATATTAACGAACGTTATTTAAGCCACACGTTTGTAAATAGCAAAAATAAAGAAAGTGAGAATGTGAGAGAATGAGCGAGAGAGCTATGAAAATATAAAAATATATTGCGAGAATGTGAATGCTTCGCCCATTTTCTTTTTCAGCCGCAGCGCCAAGCGATCTACTTCACACTTAAAAGTATATTTGTAACGTTAACATTTTTAATATTCTCTAAAAATCATGGCAGGGTAATCGATGATTCATTGGCATACCTTTCTTTTTCATCAATAATTACTCTCGAGAAATAGAACTCTCCAGAAACAGATGAAAAAGCATTATTAAGAAAATCTTAATAATTGTGGAATATTTTATCATATTATATAAGACATAGATTAAATTAATGTATCAAATTGTTAATGACACCTATTTATAAGTATTTTGTGAGAGTGTCTCTGTTTTTTCAAATGTTAGATTTTGATCACGTACGAATTCAGTGTATTAATTGAAACTATATGTGTGAACTGCTTTTATATAGCCGAATGAGAATAAATTTTACGTCGATACCAAGCATCAATATAAACTTGTTTTGTAAAACTTTGAAAATGAAACTGTCAGTCAATCAAAAAAAAAAAAAAAAAAAAGAGAAAAATAGCGATAAATCGTCGAACCATCGTTTAAAAAAACGTCCCGTACAACGTTTTGTAACACTAACGCTTAACGCGTCTCTTTCCCCGTTTTTTATCGATATTCCTCAAAAAGATTTGGACTATCCAACAATTTTGCTATCGAGTCCAATCTCTCCCAACCTCCTAAATTTTTTAACAAAGGAAGAGAGGAGAAAGTATACAAACCAAACTGTCATTCTCACGATTGCGGTGCGAGCGTGCGTGCTTTTTGTATGGTGTGCTAATCGAAGTAGAATGAAATAAAAAGGAAACCTGAAAATGGTGTAGACCGAATGTACGAATGCGATCGCGCGTTTGCAACGACGGCGATCATCATTGCAAGTCAGTCGAATATCGTAGTTGTAAAACAGTTAACTAGCAGACAATTAACTAGCAAAGTCTATAATGAGAGGTAGAGATATGTATATAAAGATTACAAGAAAGTCATATTCTATATGAAGAGTGCGAGATACAGAATGGGATTGTAGAAGAAACACCATATAATTGTATAGCGCTTATACCGATTGTAAGAATTGATTCGTCCAAATTGGATTCTGCAATATCCAACGAGAAACAATTATATACAAACAGTAGCATATATCTTAAAGACACGCATTTTCGTGTTCAGGATCGGACTTACAATTGCAATTACAATTAAAGGAACTTCTCTTCAGTGATATCAATCGTGATCAGCAATCGCAAAGAGACTCTGACTTTTTATAAGTCCATCTCGTGAATGAGCTTTTGTAAAGCATTTTTCTTCAATAAATTTGACCCTAGTGGTGTCTCTTATTAAATTTCCGAACAATCAACATCGCACTCATCGATGATGAGAACGGCCGGAAAGTTACTTAATGTATACATAGTGCAGAGCTGTCGCGCGACGGTTTTCCGGTAAGATGAGGTTCCAAAGGCAAGACTTCGAAACATCATCTTCAAGCGCAAAATAGAAAAATACATATATACACACACATACAAACAAACACATCACACAGATAGACAGACAACAAATAGGAAGATTTATATTATGAGATACATACACGCGCACAAACCGCGCGCATAAACGTTCACTCTTACGCGTCCGAATGAAGCAAAATGGTGATGCGTGATTATATATTGAATTTTAAAGCGTGACAGTTGATAATAATCATATTATTTTCGTTTTTTATGTCAGATTGCGTCGACCTCCAAGAGATTCTATCCATGATGCTTGTTAGATGTCAATACCGTTTTGTCAAGCATTTATATTAAGAGATCTAGAGAAGAGTTACACCAATAATCAACATTAATCGTTGAAATGATTAAATCTTTATTTTACAATACTATTATAATTAACAATGCAATCCAGAAAGGATCAACTCTAAAATTAAACGACATTTGTTTAAAATAGTAACATACTTTATATTCTATATGTCTTAAACTATTATTTTTGTATACTGACTAACGTAGATGATTAGTGAACTATTGATGTAACTCGCTCGAAATAATTCACAAAACAATATATGATATCTCTATCTGAGAAGTCATAGAGAATTCATTTTGTAACACGAGGTTTATTTGGTATCACAGATAATCATTTATTGATAATAACTAGAATGAATTGTTAACAATTAGATTTTATGGTGAACTTTTATAGTATTGATATATATCACGAGTTACTCGTGATGGATATTCATGGCAATCCATCATAGCACAGGTGACTATCATTTCAATACGTTCAGTTCTTAAAATTTCATCATGAAATCTCGCAAACTTCCGGTTCCCACATTAATGACACACAGATACTGTAAGCTGTAGATGGTGTGTATATAAAAATAGTGATAATGACATCGAGAATGATGGCGAGAATGGCAGTCCGGCGACGATGATGATAGTAATAATAATAGCCTATACATACATTTGTGAATAGATATTTAATAATTTATTGTTACTAGAGTATTTTACTTGGACTACTTCACTGAACGGGGTTTTGGGTACAATAATCTTTTCTTATGTCAATGATGGCGCTTACAATTTGTTTATTTGTAATAACAAGAGAAATGGAAAAAACAAAACTTTATTAGCTTTACTCGCTTGATCTTTGAACGATAAGCGATTGTGCGCCAGAAGAAAAAAAATATGTATTATATATATATTGGATGTGATATATATACATGTACATACATATATGTATATATATTTACAAGATAATATATATATATATACATATATGAAAAATATATATATATATATTAAAGAAAAAACAAATATGTCACATAAAAAGTTTTGTCAGATACAAACTATACTTGTAAATATAATATACAATCTAGTGATAACGGGGTTTTACTTTTAACAGCTTTACGTAATTATTACTTTGTCATGATCAGTGAAATAAATAAATATTGATAATACGTTATATTCCACTGTCAATTTCCATTCTTCCAATTTTAGAATCCAATTTTTAGAATCCAATTTTATTCCAATTTTAGAATTAGTAATAACTGGCGGTCGATACAATTCAATGTACAGTTTTATAAACATGGTATAAAAACTTTACAAATTTTATAAGAATTTAAAGTACGACCGTATGTATGAATACATCAAATACGATAAAGAACGCCATGAACGGTTAAAGTTAGATGTTTGTGTGTGGAATAATACATTATATATTCTTTATATTAAATCAATTTATTCCAGAAGTGATTGCGCGCCGATATTTTCGGACTTTCGACACAATCATTCTGAAACGCTAATAATTTCCCTTAAATAAAGACGGAAAGAAACTAATTGCAGAAAATATTACCTCAGCCAGGGTATCACTTCTGGAATAAATTGATTTAATATAAAGAATATATAATGTATTATTCAAAACATCTAACTTTGACCGTTCATGGCGTTCTTTATCGTATTTGATTTACAAATTTTGTTTTAAAATAAAATACATAACTATAAATATAATAAAAATTATATAAAAGAGAATTATTACTATAATTATGTTAATTATAACAATGTTACATCAAGATTTATTTAACAATCTTAAATAAATTACCATTGCATCTCTAACGAATTCTTATAATAATGTTCTTTAAGCAGGTTTTCATTTTATTAAGCATGTGATCACACATACACACACAATTAGAAAACCTAAAGTCGCCTATAAATTATGAATAACTTTACTTTCTACTGATTAATTTCAAATTGTACTTAAAGAATTATTTAAACTTTAAAGCACTCGTAATCATGAATTAATCCCATTCTGCGTAGTTACTAGCTAATGATTTAAATACCCTTTACTAAATTAAAGTAAAATCTGTATTTGATAATGCACATTATAATGATTTTGCTTTATTGCTGTGCAATCTATAAAATTTTGTATTTCTACGATAAATGTATGGCAGCTACAACTATACCGAGTGTTTCAGACCACCTGTATCACCCTTTTATTTTCGCAGGATAAAGTCCAATCGAAAAAGTGTTCAGACAAAAATTGTAGGGTTTAAAGAGATTTATTTCCTGGTGCTATGAGTTTGACCTTGGGTTACTTCGCTAAAGTCAGGTCAAGGTCGCGTCGATTTTTTTAAATGGAATACTCTACTTTTTATTTCAGAATCTAATAGCCGATGTCGAGAGCTTTCCAAAACGCTATAATTAAGTTCATTTTCATTAAGTACTTTTTGAGTTATAAGGCTTGGAAGTTACAGTACCTCCGGCATTAGCATTACGCAAAGTGTTCGATCGGCGACTAAAAACCTCTTGAATATTGTTCAGGATCATGATTTGGATGATATTTGTCAAGATCAAAGCCATTAGTGATTGTATCTCTTATTTTCATTTTTACATAAAAATAAATTTTTAGTGCAAAAATGAAAATAAGAGGAATAATCTCCAATGGCCTTGATCTTGACAAATGTTATCCAGGTCATGATCTTAAACAACGTTCAAGAGGTTTTAGTCGCCGATCGAACACTTTGCGTAATGCTAATGCCGGAGGTACCTTCCAAGCTTTATAACTCAAAAAGTACTTAATGAAAATGAACTTAATTATAGTGTTTTGAAAAGCTCTTGAAATAAGTTACAAGAATATGCAATAAAAAATGGGAGTTTCCATTTAAAAAAATTGACGTGATCTTGACCTAACCTTGGCGACGCCACCCAAGGTCAAACTTATAGCACAAGGAAATAGATCTTTTGAAATCCTATAACTTTTATCAGAACATTTTTTCGATTGGACTTTGCGAAGATAAAAGGGTGATACGGATGGTCCGAAACACTCGGTATATAGTATAAATAAGAAAATAAAAATAAAAGAATTGGAATTAAATTAATCATTGCAGCAATCATAAAATTTGCGAATCTTTTATTTCATCTATTTATTTCTGAGAAACATATTTTATTATCCTGTCGCCAGTAATATATTTTTTACTTTACGTCACAATCCTACGAAAAATACTATTAATTTT